CTTGCTTGCTTCCTTGTTTGGTTTCGTCTCTGCAACGAAAACAACAGGAAAAGCAGATGCAAAAAGAGAAAGGAGAACAGCTGCCAAAAAGAAAGAAAGAAAGAAAGATAGATAGATATAGACAGATAGATATAGGCAGATAGATGGATAGGCCAAAAAACCAAAAGCCACAAAGCCACAAAAGCCAAAAGCCACAAAAGCCAGAAGCCACAGAAGACAGAAGCCAGAAGCCACGAGAAACACAAAAAATCCAAAAAAGTAAACAACAAAAAAAAAACAAAATTAAATGGCCCTCCTTTGCCAAGTTGCTCTGCTACTTTCTCGCAGGCACTTATCATTGCACTGCACGTGATGATGTCCGGTTGTAGCCTCAGTCTCCGTGTATGCATCAGCATCCAAAGACGCATCCCTTCCTGTTGAGAAGCACACGTCACGCACCCCACCACCTCATGAATGACGCAGGCTGAAGTCCAAGACATCTGTTCTTCCCGCACTCGCATTCTGACAATGCTGCACGCCATTCGTACAAAATCATACAAAGTAGAAGGTGCAAAGAGTCTTGCAGCACCAGCTGCATCAAACATAATGTTCTACAGATTCAAGAGAACATGTGCTACAGTCTTCCCAAGGGGTGGCCTCACGTGGAGTGGCTGGCTCACCACATCTTGCCTTCAAGAAGCTGCTTGGAGTGGAGCTCCGAAAAAAGCTTCAGTGCTTGCCTCGATGACTTGGCCCAACACACAGATTGGCATCACTACTTTCGATGACTTGGCATCATCCAGATCCCTGAAATGAAAACCAGAAATATGCAAAACACAAAATACTATATATTTAACTAGCGTTCAACTCAACTACATCCGCTCTCGCAATTGTCAAATGGACTTCAGCGCTGCTTGCTGCATGCTTAGCACCAAATGGGCAAGTCAACATGTTTGTCACTCTGGGCCCGTTCTTTCTCATGTTCTTTTGTGGGAAATCTTTCAATCTGAGGATCTGCCATTGCCAGCTATTGCCACAAGCGCTGATGGCCGCATTGCACACTGCCAGGCACGGCACCCGTGCCAGAAGCGAAAGTGCTGCTTGCCACTGACCGCCTGCAAAACAGTAAACCCTTCCAAAGCATGAATCTCAATAATGTTTCAATTATGAATGCAACCTTGGAACCTCATCTGGCTTTCGGCATGTGTTCTGTGCCTGCGTCACAAGCTGCGATGGCAGCTGTCAAGGACATCACTGTGGCTTCCAGCCCTTGGTCCTGTGGCGACGGGTACAGCTTTTGCGTCCCAGGGTGACTCGCGGAGAACAAGAACTGATAGCAATATCTTCCCGATTCTCCCTCAAATGCATATTTTCTTATAAAGCCAACCCTGACTTAATAAACTATAATTGAGTAAGGCTAGTGGCTTCAGTAAGCTACCTACTGGACGAAGGATAGCTCACGCCTGAGGGCGGGGGGGGCTTCCTTGAAGAAGCGCTCGCACTATTCACTACCATTGGATTTCCCCACTCCCCACGTCCGGACTGTCCAAAGGTTGGTTGGAAAAATGCGACAAACCTCGTAAACTCCTGAGCCATGTCGAAAAGCTGAAGGGCCAAAAGCCACTGCGCACTGTTGCCACAAGCACCTGCATTCAAAGCATTTGGACCAACAAAAATCACAAGCCAAAAGCCCGAAAACATCCAATGGGCTAGGTGGGCTCACACAGCGAGAACCAGGTCCAAAGCCCGATGACAGTAACAGCTGCAACAAATCACGTTACGTGAACAGTTCGGCCGGCTTGATGTGCACGCCACCAAACCAAACATGGACGGCAATTTGAAAGTTGAAAGCACTTCTATCAGATTCTACCAACAAGCCAAGGGCACTCACAGCAGTGTTGTAGCTGATGATGGTGGCCTGAGGGAGCACGACTGGCATCACCAGCACGATTCATTGAATAGGCACTTCATTCACAAAACTGCGAGACCCAGTTACCATACTGATGTACGCAGCCTGGCACCTATGTCAGCTTTCACCAAGCAGATTCATTAGCTTGCCTGTTTCGTGCACACACACGCAGCTGGCAAATGTCCAACTTGCCACATGTCCGGCAGTATCCTAAGCCCTGTGCCCTGTCCTAGCCACGGCACTTAAGTATCTCCAAGAATTCTGGATTCACACAGGTTTGTAGAACCTGTAACTCGTGCTCAATGAAGCCACAAACAATCCTCCAAGCCCATCAACCGAAAACCACCGGCCTCCAGCTTTCTTCGACTCATTTCGTCAAACAGCTCTAATGCCAATTCCCACTGCTGACTTCGGTCACATGCAGCGACTGCAGAGTTGAGCGAGATCACCTAAGTAGCAAATCGAAGGCCCAGTGGCAGTGTGCCTTCAGTGCAGGTTAAAACCCACGGGCAAACCATTCCAACCCACAAAGAGTGGCGGCACTGCAGCACGTGCCTTCAAACATCAAATTCAATACTGCTGACATCTTGACCTACCAGCTGACGCTTGTGCTCAGGCTGTCATTTCCGACGCCTGGTGGCATCTGGAGACAAATCATCCTTTTCCATCCAATTAAGAAGTTGTAGCGCCTAGGCAGAACAGTTGCCGCGAGCTCTGACTCAGACCCAATCACATCGTCAGACCAGGACGAACAAGCAGAAGAACCACCTCTACAATACAAGAATCCAACTATATAGTAGAAACAAGTGCCACGCTAGTAGTAACAGGTGCCTTACTAGTAATAACAAGAAGCTAGTAGTAACAGGTGCCTTACTAGTAGAGTTGAAACCCTCAGCCAGTCCTGGATCCACTGCCCACCCCGTGCGCAAGCGCTGATGGCAGAGTTGAAGCTGATCACATCCTTAAACTGTGACCCTACTGTTCAAGGAGTGCAAAGCATGCGCCAACTCCAGGAGCGGTATGATGATTATGATGTGTATTGTCGGTTAGCATGTCACTGGCAAACATGGCTGATGCAGGATATGATAGTTTTGCCCCTGTCCGTATCTTGGGCCAAATCTGAAAAAAGGAAGTGTCATCGCTCATCCCATGCATGAAACCTTTTGCTGACAACAAAGAATGAGACTGATGGGTTCTCTAAACCTGTGCAGGAAATATCGCAGCTCTGCTTCTGGTCGCATTGATTGCACAACATCTACCAGCAACATAAGGGCATGCTCCCAGGCATCACCTGGCAAGGACAAACGTCAGTGGACGGGAAATGTACGTATAGGCCTCACAGGCTTGTGTCATGTGGTCACATGGATGCTTCGGATGATCTGACGAGAGAATGTCAGTAAGCTGCATGCATACTGACTTGTTTAGTAACTATTGTAGTCAACAAATGTAGTCAAGGCTTAGCTCATCGTTTCATCAGCACCTGTGCTGGATCTGAAGTCTGCCCACCTTTCTCGCAAGCGCTGATTGTAGCACTGTAGAGGAAGATGTTCGCCTCCAAGGAGTTGTGGAAGACATCAGCTAAGAGCTGCAAGGCCTGTCATTTGACACCGCCAACTTCACTGCCCCGGATGGTCAATTTGAGCAAGCAGGGGAAATGAGAAATGCATCTTGAATTCTTCAAGTTTTTCGATGCTGCTGCTCTACTTCCCCAGTCTTTCCTGAAAGAATCTCAAAGCCATCTCGACAAACGCGTTGAAAAAGCGGCTCGAATCAATATGCACATGAAATAAATGATCTCTTCATCTGAATACTCCTGACACCTCGCGGTCTCTGCTGCTGTCAGAACGCACGTCGCATGCAAAGAGAACATGTCCCCTCTTGTCTGTATGGACCCTAGTGCTTCGCCAGTGACCATGCAAATCACAGTAGATGAAAACTCAACGCGCGAAGCTGCTGAGATGCCTGTGGCCACTGCCCTTTCTTCCCACAGGCTCCGATGACCACCACCCGCGTGCGGAGGTCATCCGCACAACTCCTTTCTTGGAACTGTCGCCTCAACGAGTTGAGCGTTTGCCCCGGTGATGAGCCACCAACTCTTGGGAGTGGATTGGAACACGAACACACATCACGGTGCCTCGCTTGTAGTCCGCGCTAGTACTCTGATTGAAAGAGTTCTTTGAAAAAACACAGTCAAAAGTCAAGGCTGGTTATACGCTATGCGGGTATGGCAGCACTTTCCTGTTGCGTTTCGGCACAGGGCCCTGGATCAAAAGAACTTCAATAACATTTCTGTTTGATTGAAGAAGGACCATGGGAGATCACTAGTGAGACACATGATCGAGCCGTTTTGAGAAACTGTGTTCCTTGTGCAGTGCATCTATTTGTCTCTACACATGCGTTACTTTGATTGATCCATCACTTCTGCAAACGTATCATGGCTCTATGATGGCTTCTGATTTTTTCTGCATGTCTGCTTCCGTATATGCGTGTATGTGTATGTCGTGAAACTGTACTTCTTGAAGACAATATTTAATGATTCGTTTGCTACATTTAACGGGGCTGAATACGCACTTAATGATAGTGCCGGGCCGCCCTGGCCCCTTGGATTTAACTTTGGCGGCGTTGGCGGTGAACACCGAGCGCATCTTACGATTGTGCGCACCAAAGGACACTGAACACAAGGAAATTCATGGAACGGTGCTTTGCCACTTCGTAACAAGCGCACCGCTACTAGTAACAAGGGCATTACTACTAGCAACAAGGTGCATCGCTACTAGTAGCTAAGTGCATTACTAGAGTTGTCATTGTGTCTTGTGTTTCGGATGCTTCGGCGTTTGCTTGCCATTTTGCCGCAACTGTGTTCGTATCAGCATGGCAATTGACATGTTAAACATCTTCAAATGGCAATTGAGATACAGATTTTAGATGACCCGGTTACAAGAACTTTGCCGATCCGCCCGGCTGTTCAAAACTGTTCAAACATACACAACAAAGCTACAATGAGTTGATGAATAATATATATATATATAGAAAAATACACATACCATCATACCACTTCGGCGGCGTCAAGCCATCAACAGGTGGGACCATCATTATGCGAAAAGGGGGTGTGCCAATGGCAAGCCATCAATTTGTCGCCGACCATATCTCTCCGAATGCACCGGATCTCTTTCGACCTCCGAAGTTAAGCCGAGAAGAGCCCGCGTAGTACTGACCTAGGGGACTGGTTGGGAAGTGCTTAGGGTGCTGTCGGCTTTGCCTTTTGCACTCGTCGATGCCATATATGCGTACATCTGCCTACCCATTGAGTGCTCTTGCGCACGTCTAAAATTTGATGTGACACCAACAGAATGACCTCCATGAGGGTATGTTTCTCCCTGCCCTTTAAACCAACAGGCCCGGCCAGGCACTTTATAACCGCTCGATGTAATTCGATTTGAAAGGGGTACTTATATTTCTGCCATTCTACCTCCGGCCCTCCAGGCCTGATTACCCTAACCCAGCCCCCCATGCAATTCAATGTCGTTTCGGTAGACTCAACAAGCTATGTCTACGTCCGCAAAAGCATTGAAAGCGTTGCAAACAGCATTGAAAGCGATAGCAGTTGCGCAGCCTGAGCTTCCCACACTGCCAAAGCCCAGTGGGTCCCGCGCACACAGCTTTGCAGCTCCTGGTTGGGAGAGGGTCCCATGGATGTACCCGGTGGATATATATATATATATTGCGCACCTAGGATTAAGTAACCTCCCCCTATGAATCAAGCCCAGCTCGAGCCCCGAATACTAAACTAATTTAAAACCTGAATTCTACATGTACATCACCCTAACATTTTTCTTCCTAGCAAAAACCTCCCCTATTAATCAACCTATTAATCAAGCCCAGCTCCCCCCCCAAAAAATACTTACAGTACAGTATTTAGTTCATTATTTTTTTACTTTCTTTCTGGCTAGTATACAATATCTTCTGGTCCATGGTCAACATCATTCTCATCCTCCTTCTGCTTCTCATCCTGCTTTGTCTTCTCATCTTTCCCAGTTAAAATTCACAAAAAGCTAACTAGCAAAAGTCTTTCGTTTTCCCTTATTAACTATCTATAAAAATATTAAGGTCTTCAAGCTCACAAAGGGTACCGTAGGGCCCCTCCCCTCATTAATCAAGCCCACCCTCTGGCCTCCATCTTGTCTTCAACCTCTTTCATCCTGCAATCCTCTTTCTTTTCCTAATCATCCCAATCAAAGAAAGAATCGTGTCTTCCAATCTCTTTCATATCTTTCCGAACCATCTCAACCCCAGTCTTTCCTAATCTTGTCATCATCTCATCATCCATCATCAGGTCACCGGTCATCATCTTTATTAAGGGGATGTGGTCTCCAATCTATCCAATCTCAAACCTTGTTGACCTTGAAGGGGGGGGTTGATCAATCCTACGTCGACATTAACATATATACCAATCTGCAAAGCACGTTGGGAACCACATCTCCCCCAACAAGGCAAGGAAAAGGCTCCTTCTCGGCCATTCCATTGTGCAGAATTTGCACAACGAGCAGCTGACGCGCCGCCAGGTTGTAGGTTGCCCGCCATCAGAAAGGGACATCCATCAAGGGCATGCAGCATACCCTAACGCTGTCGCAAAGTGGTCTTTGACCATCAAACAAGCTTCGTCCATACTGGCCTGAGGTCTTATTGGGTACCTCGGCTTGTCAAAGAAGATTTATATATACAGTTGTTAAGAGTTAGAATAGCTGGAGGAGTGGCTGAGCGGAAGGAAAACAAGGTGGAAAAAGGACATCCATCAAATCAAACATCCCAGTGGTGTGTGGGTGACGCAGGGTCGCGGGCCATCGGTGCTTGTCAGGGCCCGTGTGAGCAAAAACAAATATGTATTGAACAAGTAGAGATGATTGGGTGGGGGTCAGAAGAGGCCAAAGTCTTCAGTGTCTTTCAAGCTTTCTAGAGCTCCTGTCAGCCCTGGCCTTGTGATCCTTGCTGTTGAGCCAGGCACACAGGACGAAGAGCTGGGCAAAGGCAGTAAGCACAACGTCGGCTCATGGCATGTTCGTTCGGCAATCCCTTGGCCTGTCTATTGGTCCCTTGTGAATTTTTCATCCCCTTCCTGCATCAAATGGACTCACGACACGGTATAGCCACGCTTTCTGGGACCCCGCAGACATTACTTGAGCTCGATTTCGTTCCTAAACAGGGCTGGCTGATAATGTCCCAAAGGTCCTGGACTATCTAGATTGTTTCAGAGACATCAAAAAGACCATCCTCAGAAAGTACTTTAAGGTCCAAAGTCAGCGTCCAGTTTCTTGCAACTCCCAACACTTGAATGGAACCATGCATCGCGCGTCTTCGTGCGTATGAGTTCACTCTGGGTGAGAAGTGCAAATGTACTCACAACGGCCCTAGCAGGCCAGGGTATGGCCCACGCAAAGCATCGATCTGGAAAGGCGAGTGCAAGTCTAGGATCAGCTTGACTCGATGTTCATAGAAGTTTTGTGGCACTAAGGAGTGTCTGGCGAGGGTGGCAAAAGCAGGCAACAGCCTGGCTAAGGATGGCAGCCGTACGCCCTTCGGCACAAACAGCATAGCAGGGTCGTGCCCACAGCACACCAAAGTTGTACAGTAATTGACGTGGTTGAGGTTTTTGCAAGTATTGACCCAAGACTTCCACACGAGGATCGTTTTTCTCCAGCTTGTCTATGGTCTTTAGTGAATGTAGTGTCCACACCAGGCGTTCGAGGAAGTCAAGCTCCTCGGGTCTTTCTGTCAGCAAGGCTTCAACGGCCTCCGTTGCAAGGCATGCAAAGGACTGGCAAGCAGCCACACGTATCACTCGTCTTCGTGCGAGAAAATGTCTCTGCTTTGGTTGCAAGTTCTTGCTCTTTGGCTGTGCGAAAGTAAGCCTCTGGATAATGCAACGTTCCTGCTAGTTGTCCAAGCTCGACGAGTAACCAGTTGTTGTTTAAATCTACGCTGCCTTCAGTCACAGCTGTGAGGTACTGCAAACGGTCTGGCGGACAGATTGAGAAAGGTTATTCCACTTCCTCAGCAAAGCTTCAGCCGTGCTGCTACAGTATGCCAGAACAGCTTCACACTTGCGCTGACCCGCAGCATGCTGCACAAGGTCCACTCCCCTCTCCAAGATTGGGATAATAGGTCTAGGCTATAGGTTTTGCTCGCTGTGTTGCTCCACCGCCTGCCCAGCTTTGGCAGTCTCATCTGAGCGCAAGAGGCTTTGCAGCATGCTCCAAAGCACATTCCCTCGGGTCATTTGAGGGGCCAGGGCCAGGGCACGTCATTGACTGCCATCCAGAATCCAGGCCAAACACCCGGGCCTCTTTGTTTTGGCCAAAGCCGCCAGGATGTTCACCACGATGCAAGTCCTCTAAACGCATGACATCCACCAGTGCTCACGTGTGGCCTCTCCCAGTTGACGAGCGCACAGCACCTGAGGTTGAACAAGAATTTGACTTTGTAGAGTTCTCTCTTGGGGATTTCGTTTTGTTACTGATGTTTTGTTTGCATTCGGGGTTTGGCCCAAGATGATCTGCTGTTTATTGCACGTAACAATCCCACAATGTGCAACCACAATGAGAACATCAAAAGGCCAACAGCATCCAAAATCATTGTCAGTTGCACCATTGCAGGTACATTTTGTCTTTTCACTACTGACACTTCGTGCCATTGTTTTTGTCATGTTTTCATTAGCATTCCCTTTCTTCCACCATTTCTTTCTTCACAAATTATCCAAAAGTGATCTTTGAGAAACATTATTTTGAGGAGCAATCGATAGCAATCGGTTCATCTCATGTTTGTCATTTTTGCCCCAAGCGGGACAGGTGGGAGTGGAAGCACTCTTTCGGTCCCATCAGGTCAGGGTACCAAAAGAAAGTCCTTTGACTTTGGTTCACACTGTTTTGTTTGTTGTAGGGGGGGGTAGGCCCAGGTGAGGTAAGTTAGCTAGAGGTAGGTAGCTAGTAGTACGGTAGCTAGGGAGTCGCTAGTACCCGCTGGTACCTACACGTAGCTACTAAGTAGTATGGACGCAGGATAGCTCACGCTTCTTCAAGGAAGCTCCCCCCGCCAAGAGCTCGCACTAATCATTATTTGGTTCCTAGGTTGTAGGGGAAACTTAACTTTTGTTCACACAGTTGTCTTTCATGTTGGTTTCTTGCGTTTCCCAATGTCCACATCTCGGCGCCAAGTGGATGTTGAGGGGTTCGTCATGTCATTTCCCTTTGAATATGTCCACTTGCTGTAATGGTTGTTTCATGCCACCGCATGCCCATTTCTTTGAATTTCTTTTCATGTCCAGTCACGTGTTTTCATGCTATTGTCCTCGTGTTTCTGGGGTTGACTGAGGGCCACGTCAAGGATTCATTTGCCCTACATTGGGGGACTGAGAAACACTGCCCGACACGCGCTATGGCACTGACACGACGTAATGACGCTCTGGCATCAACTTGGGTATGTTTCTTTGACACATCGTCTAGGATAGTGCTGAGAAGTGTTTTGGCATCCTTTCTGGCATTTGTCCTGCCATCAAGTCCTGATGTGTGTTCTGACATGTTTTTTTGGCATATACCTCCGGAAATGTGCTCCTGCATGAAATCTGGCACGTGTTCTGAAGCGTGTTGTGACATATGGCCCGGCTTCTGCTGTGGCATGTGTGTTCTGCCAACTGCTCTGGGATTCGTTCTGGCATTATGCCTGGCAAGTGTTCCAACATGTTCCGACATTTGTTCTGACATTTGTGCTGGCATCACGCATGGCATATCTTCTGACATGTGTTCTGGCAAAAGTCTCTGACATGCGTTCTGCAGTCAAGTCTGCAATGTGTTCTGATATATCTTCGACGGCGGGCAGAGATGGGCGACAGGCGGACACAAGTCGCTGACATAAAATCTATAGACTGAAACCTGACAGGTGGGGAATAAATCACTTGTCACTAAAAAAAACATGTGGGCTGCCTCGTGCTCGAGTATTCACCTTCAAAACCAAAATGGCCAGTCCTCACAGCAATTAGCGGCTTTCTCTATCTGACCAACAAAATGGCAGCAACAGCATAGGATCCTTCCGTTTCTTTACTCCTCATTAGGCTACTCATCGTTTTCCTTGAAATCACTTAAACTTATATACCCTTTCAAAAAGGGGCCACCCAACATCTCCTTGCTGGTCAGAACAACGATGCCAGCACACAAGTATCCTACGTTGTGGCCAAGGTTAGCAATGGACATGCTGTCTTTGATGAGGTCATAGCATTCACTCACAATGGGACAGATTGAGCTGAGGAACTTTCTTGGGGAAGCTCTGCAAATCAAGTGTGTGGCAGCAGTCTCAAGAAACCAAAGCAATTCCCCGTCAAGGCAAAAACATTGTGAAATCCCCAATGACAAGCTCAAACCACTAGCAGTAGCATCAAGCCCAATATGTGTACGCCGGGTGGTAGACGACAAAGCCCACAGTGACGCGATGTGCATATGCAGAATGTTCTGCATCTAGCTCTTGAGTTTCTGCGGCATCCCCCTGAATCTGGTCTATGTCTTTTATCGCCTCTGGGGTGGAGCCACCCAAGCACGACTTTGTCCAAACAATGGCTCTATATCCTCAGGCTGCCCACGGCAGGCTGCCCACGGCAGGCTGCCCACGGCAGGTGCCGTATGGATGCACATTTCAGACACAGTATTGTCAGCAAAGTTGAAGAGCCATAGAGCCGCACGGTTCACGCGCTCAGACTCGACCATCTTGGTCGGCACCTTCACATGCATAGGCGGCCGCACATCCATGTCTCGAACTAGCGCAGGATGGTGCAGGTCCAGGTCGGAACAGCACAGGTGATGTGCCTTGCTCTCTTTGTCTTTGACATGTAGAGCAGCTTGTGCCTAAAAGAGTGTGATGACGTAGGAATTCTACACATCACGCGCCGGCATAGAGAAACTGATTTGGCATCCGGGACCTGTTTTGGTCTGCATCTCTTCTTTCCCTAGGAGCAACTGCACGCCCGAGCATGGCAATGCCGCCCAGACACTGCCAACCACTGTGCCACGGAAACCTGCATGACAGGAGTTCTTCCTCTGCAAGTCTCTCATGATTTACTGCACCACCCAACACCACCCCGCGCAAACCTGGCCAAAAGAAAGATGTTTCGCAGAAACGTCACAGTACAACAAGCTTCTGAGTGAAGAAAAGAAAAGAAACACAAACAAAGCTTGGCCTGCACAGGAGCTGATGATTCGCCTGGCTCCAGGTTCCAAAGCGACACTTGATCCTGGAGGCTCGGGCTCAAATGGCTCGGCCGCGACCCAGGGCACGGAGAGTGAAGCCCACGAAGGTGACCAAGCACCTCTATGAGAGCCTCTACATGACATGCCTCTAATTTCCAGCATTTTCCTGATTGCCGCATGGAGGTTCAGAAGGCAAAGAACATTTTTAAAGCCAACAAGTTCTTTGGACTGACTGGCTCCCTTTCTTCAGATGCACATTATATCAAAAAGGCAAAGAACATCTGAGCTTGGCTCAAAAATATACCAAAGCTTACTGTATATATATATATACACGGAAAATATGGGAACATATTCTGAGACTTTCTGACAGTGCCCTGCAGTTCTCCAGTTCTCCCTGAAACATGTCGATTTG